GGGGTCTACATTCTTACGGCATGCACTTACGTCTTCTGGACTAAAAGCAAGAGAAAAAGTGGCACTTCTTGGAGATAAGCTTTAGCATTGGAATTGGAAAATTAAAACAACCGCTTACAAATGTACTCACGCACACTATATTTACCAAAAATATGAAGCCGTTTTAACTGAAAAAAAAGCAGACTGGGTGTATAATTGAATTCTACACATTATCCTAGAAGCTCCAAGAGTAAGCTACAATAATGTAACTTCAAAAGTAAAACAAAATTGATTCGCACTTACTGTACAAACCCCCCCCCCAAAAAAAAAAATTAAATTAAAAATTAAAAACCAAAAAACGGCACGAGAAAGCTACACATCTGCTGTTGTCACCTTATCTTGTGACCACAAGGACAAGACCCAATGACACAGGACAGGCCTAGCTATTATGGTTCTATCGTTTCCTGCAATCTAACAACAGCGCATGGCTACACGAGTGTTATCAGAAAACTAATAGGAAAAAGCGCGATATTTTTTCAGTGGCGGCGAGTGGGTGGTTGGCGGGTGCTCTAGTGTGGTTTGATTCTTCTTTCCTATCAAACGTCTATCGTCCTTATCACCCTTTCTTCTTTTTTATGTTTGTTACTCTCTCGTAACAGTTCTAATCGTCTGGCGCTCATATGACCTTATGCAGTTGCGAGCGCTGTAAAACCTCTACTAAAACTAAAACTAAAACTAAAACTAAACAGCGGCGGCGAAAAAATGCAACCAGAAATGAAACTAAAACGCAAAATACGAGTAGATCTAGATGCCCTGATAATCATATGGAAATAATCATGCCCTGAAATACGAAGCCCAAAATGAGACGAGAGTCGTTCCCAGTGAACAGGCTAATTACGATGTCACATAATATTAGGTTCCCATTGAAAACCTGCCATTTCAAAACAATGACCAGTAAAAACCCTAATTTTATTTCTTATAAAGATAATAGACCTATAGTGTGTCCTTACGGTACTCCCATAGGGGAAAGAAATGCAAAGGCAACATATATCATCACTTCATCACGATCATAATAATATAATGTTAGTAATCGTTATGATGGAACGACAATTATAATAATAAGCTAATAATAAAAAAAATATTTTAAAACAATAATAATAACAATAATAATAATAATAATAATAATAATAATAATAATAATAATAATAATATACTTTTGTGTTTGCTTTTTTGTAGGATAACTGATCAGCGTGTGTGTGTGTGTGTGTGTGTGTGGAAGAGGGGGGGGGGTGTCAAGAAAAAGTTTTGCGTGCAACCAAGCACAGAGCTACTCAATATTTTAGTCTTTTAAAAATAATATATTTACCATCTAAGCAGGACGACCCAGTATACTATGTTGGATACCGGAATTCAAGTGTGATGTGATCGAGAAGAAGTAGACAATATATTTACCATTAAGAGTAGAGCACAGCTTGAGGAATAGACTGTTTGTGAAATTCTCGACATCAAAATGACTAAAGACTAAAACCCGACATGGTATGCGGAGCAAGGTCAGAGCACAGAGAGTCTACGAGGCAGCAGTTTGGAAAGAAGGTCCGAGCCAACATACATAATATAAATGATACATACGGTTTTTTGTCAGTCACGTAGAGGTTATATGGACACTCAAAGACAACACACAACCATCTGGCTGCTTATGCTGACAGTCGACAGACAAAGAAGAATCATGTTATGAAGCTATGATCACTACAAGATTTGAGGTTGTTATTTACAAAACATTAGATCTGTAATAGTAGTAATAATAATAATCATAATGGTATCACGACATTGATTTCGTATAAAGAAAGTCAAAAACCATTTAGCTGAAATATCACAATTGGCTTATAAGTAAATACTAGTATAAAAGACATTTTGCTTCGAAACAAACAAAAAATGAAGAACAGCTTTGATATCATGTGTGTACAAAAATAGACATGCTTCTCTTGTCAATAAAACGACAAAACAAAGGTGTAGGCTGCTGATCATAATAGAGGAATGTGTTCAGTCATGGGTGACGTGTTTTTAACGAATTATTATGCTATTCTGATTGGTCAAAGGCAGCGATTATATAAAAAAGACTGTCTTTCTGTCAATGAATAGTAGGATTAAGAGAGATGGTGATGATGGTGGTGGTAGTGGCACGTTGATAATGCTCTCGAGCAAAGCAGTGTAGGACAAGATCCAACGAAAGCAAAGGCAGCGAGAGTACTACAGTCATGAATGAATGAGCGCGCCATCTCCGAAGAACGCACTCTTTTGAGCAGACAAAGGCTAACTTTGACGTCACCCGTTTGCGTGTGGAATCGTAATGATCACCAACTTGCATATAATTTATTTGATGCATCAGAAGAAGGGAATGGAGCAAGTCAGTAGTAACAACCATACATGATTAAGGTAATATATAATATATACATGTAGCCTACATGAAGAAATAATAATATTATTATTAACGAGATGACAATACAATAAAACTGCATTTTTTCTTAACTCAATGCCTGGAGTTTAAAATGGAATGGATGCAGAGAGGGAAGATACCAGAGTGTCCTTGTCGTGGCATGTGGTTGAAGCAGGTCGCAGCGTCAGGGGAAGTGAGGGCACTTTTCACTTCTTGAGCTCAGTACACCATCCACACATTTCGAAGAATCCATTCGTTTCTTAAGAAACCGTCAAATTCTCTGAATCAAAACACCAAACCAAATTCTCCAGTGAAGCATATTATTTTATCATTATGGTGGAATCTACTTTCAGTTTCAGAACACAAAAAGAAAAACGAAGTGTTTACCACTTGCGGTCGCCATTTTGCTTGGAATGTGGAATGGATGGATGAAGAATGGAAGTCTTGCTTGTCAGGTGGGGGTCGCTTTGGAGGATCGTGTAACGTGAGTGGAAAACTATGCATGCTCTGTTGTCATTGTCAACATTCTTTTGCATAGACGGAGCTTTCAGTCCATTTTGAAATGAAATATTCACGTGCCACTCTTCCGTGAGCCTGGCAACAGTACCCGAGGCACAGCGTGAGCTGGATGGATGAGCCACCACGTGTATTGTGTTTACCATAGTAACGAAACATGGAGCGTATTGTGTATACCATAGTAATGAAACAAAGTGTTTGTTTTGTTTGTTTACACACACACTACAGAACAAAATACGACACTTGACTGCTGATTTCAGAATGGATGAATGTGCCCAGTTATGGGTGACGTCACTTCAACAAGTTATTATGCTTCCATTTCACAATAACTGACTGCCTTCCACATCAAAACAGGGCATTGCGAGAACATGAAACAAAGGAAGGAAAGAAAGACCCTGTAATTGATGTGTACGGTGAGCAATAAATGGCTTGTATGACCATCTTCCACAAGAGCTGGATCAGGAGTTGAGCAAAGATAGAATTGTCCTTGTGATCATAATGTTGCAGCTGCCATTTGGTCGATGTGTGCAGTGGGCTCTGTGGGTAGGTGGGGCTGACGGTGGGTTTTTTTTAAAGTGGGGGTGGGGGGGCAGTTGGGTGATTGGTTTGTGGAGGGGTCAGGCCTGAGGGGTGTTTCATACACATAAAGGTGGAGTTTATGATGATACGAAGGCCAAGGGGAGAAAGGACGCCAGGAAGATTATCAGAAAGTGCCAGAGTAGGCCTATTTTATGAGGAGGTGGGGGTGGAGGGGAGATGAGGGTGTCTTTTCACTGTGCTATTATCTTGTACGATACCAACGCCACAATGATTCAATAGGAAGACGGGAGTGGAAGAGGAAAAAAGGGGGAGGGGGGTATTTTATATCAATTTCCTTCACGAAATATCTTAATTAAGAGGAACCAAAGATAACGAAGCCACAATGGGTCTAAGGGAAAAATGGGTGAATGTTGGGACGGTTGGTGACGGGAGACTAGTTGGAGGAACCCCATCTCTCTCTCTCTCTCTCTCTCTCTCTCTCTCTCTCTCTCTCTCTCTCTCTCTCTCTCTCTCTCTCTCTCTCTCTCTCTCTCTCTCTGTCTTTCTGAACTCAGACTGTTCACACACACACACACACACACACACACACACACACACACACACACACACACACACACACACACACACACACACACACACACACACAAGGGGACTACCAGGCCCACACGAAACACATCATGGCCAGCCAAGCCTTAGCAACACACCGCACAAAACACAACTCTTTACACAGCACACTTTGGCAGTTTCAAAACCAGGCTTCGTGTGCCGCCACGGCATGATAGTCTTAACGCCTTTCTAGACGTTTCTAGACAATTCCAGGGCCCACAAGGGCACACGGCTCCATAATAACGCTGTAAGCCATACGGGTGATGTGTTCACGGGAGGCAGACCTACACATCTGGAAACACTGGGAGGGTGACGTTTGTTGTTTTAGGGGAGTGGAAAAGGGTGGGGGGGTTACTAAGACGCCCCGAGTTTATATCTGGAGCTCCCGTTCCGCTTCTGAGAATTGCTCCGCGAAGGAATACACAACAGCGCGGAGACCTTGTTCCCCTTCGGAACATCGTCTTTGTAGAACTCGAGGTGCTCTGGGGATAATTCGGAAGTATCAGCGCCGTACTTGAGAAGTTTCCGCGCCGCCAAGCTATTGCTACGCGTGGCGGCGTAGTGCAAAGGCGTGTGGTTGGTATTGTCACGAGCGTCCACCCGGGCACCATTCTGCACCAGCAGCTGAAGGATGCTCACGTCGCCTCGGTAGGCGGCAAGGTGCAGCGGCGTGCAGCGGCCCGGCAGGCCTTGTGGATTCCCCATTTCTATGTTGGGGTCCACGCCGGCTTTGAGCGCCACTTTGACCAGTTTGCGGGCGCCGCGGAGGGTGCAGGCGTGAAGCGGCGTCCATTCGTCGATTACGGCGGTGAACACCTCCTAGAGGAAAAAAACACGGGGGAACAAATACAATACTCATTAGTTACCCAAATTTAAGCCAAAAAAACATAATAAAAGATGAAAGTAATCAACGTATTATCTGTTCCTACTGTTTAATTAAGCTGCTTACGCAGTCCACAGTAACGAATCCTAATTGTTTTACACGAGGGAGAAGAAATAAAATAAAGAGAAAAATAGAGAAGCATAACACAGACGCAATAATTGTCATTTAGTGCTGGGTAAAAGTAAAACAGACAGATAAAAACAACAGAGGGAAAGTAAAGAAGATCTACCAGTGGCGCCCTTCAGCCACCGGCAACTAAAGGTTGAAAATGCATTACTTGATATCTTCAAACACTAGAAAACCCTGATTCTAGCTTGAGAAAAGCCCAGATCGCTTTGAAAGAGGAGCATTTTTTTTAAAGCTCAACAACCAGTGTGGATAGTTGGCAGATGCTCAGGTGTGGTCTACTTCTTCTTTCCCATCAAACAAACATCTATCATTCTTAAATATCTCTCCTCCTCCTTTTTTGTGTTTGTTAATCTCGTTCAGTACTTACCCCCCTCCCAAAAAAAATTTTTTTAAATAAAAATAAAAACCACCCTCATATGACCGCATTGTGCTGCAAGTGCCGTAAAACTCTTCTTGCTAAATCTAAACTTCTTTCTAGTGCTTGTTACTCTCTTTCAACACCTCTAATCAGCGGCACTCATAATAATGGCCGTATTGCGTTGCACGTCGTGCCGTAAATAAAACTCTTCTTACTAAAAACTAAAACTACTCGATCTACACCACCAACCTGTATGAAAGCCCGGTTGCCCCTGACCAACATCTTGGTACGTTCCACCAGCCGGTCCTCGTTTTGGCGCAGCAGACCCAAGAACGTGACAGCTTCCGTGCGCGCGTCAGAATAGGGCGGGGATGACGTCATCGGTTTTCGCGGTGGGAAGTTACCGAACACCGAAAGAGACAGCATAGGGGGAGCTTGGTCTGAAAATGGCAGCAAATAATAATAATATATAATATCATTATGAGGCGTCACAGATCAGAAACGTATAAATCAATCCATCTATCTATCTACCTGTCTGTGTCTGTCTGTCTGTCTGTCTGTCTGTCTGTCTGTCTGTCTGTCTGTCTG